ACCTCATAATTACCCAGTTCTAAAACAGGAAAGTGGTATTGATTGGCCTGGCTCAGTGCTCTGTGACTGGGACGTGCCAATGCCTTGCCCTGACTCTGCTGGACTCTCAGCTTGTAAACTCGACACACTAAGGATTTATTAGATGTGTGCAAAGGGTCTTATGTTTTCTCCTCCAGTTGTAGATTTTGCCAGTGAAGTCTCTCCTACTCCTCATTTTGTCAAGCAGCAGGGTGATAGATTTTGTGTGTGCGCGCGTGGCCATGTACTGCTATCCATTCATAGAGGGCTGCAGGCCAGAACTGCTGGAACTCAAATAAGAGTGGGACAGGAGTCAAGGTGGATTTAGCCTGTTATTAGTCAATCTGTTCTGCATATTGCCAGCTGTTCTTTGAGGCACAGAGGCAAATGGAAATACCCACCACCCAATTATCAGAAACCTCAAAGTATTTTGAATGCATATAACTTCTCCCATAATTTAAAGAAAGAGGCAGTCTTTTAAAATTCTTGCATGCAAATGTATGTGTACAGTAGTTTTGTTATATCCAGGCTTCTGTGCAGGTCCATGGATGCTGCACTGTATCTATTTATAAAGAAAGAATTCCACACATTATAAAGTTATAATTTCATAATAAGAACAATGGCAAAGCAATGTTGTTCTATATTGATTTCTATACTTTAGTTAGCTGAAATAAATTTATTAACAGATTTGGGTGATGCTCTAGGAAGTGCAGTTCAGTTTGTATGATTTGAATACTTTTGGATTTATGGCTGTTTTATATTAATTATTGCGATTTTGATTTGTAAACTACCCAGGGAGCCTCTGGACTCATGGGTAAGGTAGAATTATAATAAATGAATATGACTTATAATAACCATATATTTCCATATTAGGAAAGACATTTAGAGGTGTCATTTTTAGTATGGAAATCTGTGGCTATTGTAAGTCATAACACTTTTGAAAGCCTGAATTAAAGCTTCTATCACCTGTCAGTTACATCTGCATGAAATCAATAGCAGTTGGCCATCTATCTTTTCTGATCACCACTCATCAGACCAAATTCATTAAGTCAAATAGATGCAGTGATTAGCTGGAAAACAGAAGAAAACTTGACATGTTACAAATGCACTGAGTACCACCTTTTTGTTCTCTAATCAGAAAATGTAATACTTTATTTAATCCTTCTTTTTTTCCCTTTTTTTGGTGGGGGGGGGTCATTTTGTGAAGCTATATTAGACGCTCATGTGTCCCAACACACTAGGCTTCTGCCTGACATACTAGTATAGGCCCAGGCAAAGACATGACAAATTGTCCCCAAAGTCAGTGCTGACAGCTTCTGATGATTAATGGTCTGATTATGAAGTGGTTTTACACATATAGAATTTACATCACAGAGAGTTAGAAATTTTGCCATGTCACAGACGCCAAGGCATTTTGAAGAGCTTTACTATTTGCAAAGAAAAGGGAGGATGAAATCCCAGCAAAAGCCATGTCATGTAAAATCAATACATCGGATCAATGCTTTATTAACAAGAAAATGTCTTACTTCACATTCCTATGTGGACCTTTGTCTCCGGGATGCATGATGGAATGTCAAATCATATTGCAGTCTTCAACTTTCTGCTGTGTTATTGAGTGCATATTGTGGGAGCCTCCTTGCATTGATTATAAGATGTACTATTACATGTTTACACAAAACCAAAGCACTTAATAGTAATATGAGCTAATTATTTTAAATAATATTTCCAAATGTTGAACTGTGACCATGAACTAATAAGTGGTAGGCTTTTTTCCACAGTTACTTGTGCTCAACAAACCTGCTGAGCTGTTTGGTGTTAATCATCAAATTACATGCTGACTAATGAGTGATTGCCTAAATTGTACGCTGAGTAATGAATAGATGGAGACAGTTCTTATTAGTCTCAGAAAACCCATTGATTTATGTAGCGCCATGCACCATAGCGTTATTCTGTTAGAAATGATATCTACATTAAGAAGTAATATACTCTAATAAGTATTTTCATCTTAACTGTAGTCCTTGGGCCTCCGGGCTCAGTTTTTGTTTGAGTCAGGCAGAGCTATAATAAAGCCCTATGACTTCTTATAAAGCTTGTTAAACACAATGTGTGCAGTCTAACTGAGTCAGATTCATGATTCATTCACTGTACACAGCAGCATGTGCTGCTGATTTATGACCAAGCACAGTTCATAGTCAAAATTACAATTTGAGGGATAAAAAGATTAATTACTATTTGTGGCCTGCAATTTTGTGAGGCTAGTGGATTGCAGCTGTAGAATGATAGTGCTCTACATCAGTTTGTAGTCAGCCATTCACAGATTATTAAAGCTTTGCAAGATTAAGTGCTCCTCCTGCCTGGTTTGTGCTCAGGCAATATGCTAGACAAAAAAGGACCACAGGGATAAATCTGAGTCTAGCAATAGCTGGACATATGTCATAATTGCCAGTTTCCCATAAATCCACAGCCAGTATAGAAGCAGCACAAGATGCAGACATCATATCATGACTCTAGTGATTGCTATATATGGCCTCAAGACCTGTAACTTTGTTACTTCTCCAACCAATTTTTGCAACATACTGAATAACCCACTGACTTCCCACATGACACATATCCCCAGTTGTGAAGAGAAATAATAATAGCATGTGTGCATAAAACAGAAAACAAAAGTGCACAGAGTAATATGAGTTACAAAAAATCCATTCATGATAATTTGTTAAACATAAGTTTAGTGAATAAGTATTAGGCCGTTCCTTGCGTATGTTTGCTACCAGCTAACAGACTAAAACATAATTCTGAATACTTTTCAGCCCTTAATGAACCAACAATAGATTATGGATTCCAGAGGTTGCAGAAAGTCATTCCACGGCATCCAGGTGATCCTGAACGGTTACCAAAGGTTAGTAAAGATCTAAAGGTTTCAATTTATTGTTGGATCCCTAAACGTATTTCTAATAATTAAATTTCATTATATTGTTTTATTATATTTATGCTTCACTTTTTTTCTGCAAGGAACCCTGGGTGGCTTACATTATTCCCAGAACAACCCAGTGAAGTGGGTTAAATTGGGAATCTGTGACAGGTCCAAAACTACCCAATGAGGTTCATGACCAAATGGAACTAGAAACAGAATTTCACTAGTTCCAGCCCATCAGTCTAGTCTCCATACCACACTGGTTCTCATTACTGAACATTATCAAAATAAGAAAGTAGGGAAGGTGATATACTAAGAATGTATATATACTGCTGCAATAGAAACATCTCTTGCTAATCATTTAACAATTTCTTGCATGCATGCTGCCAAAACTTTAAGAGTATACATAACAGTATCTGCTGGGTAGTTTTGTTTTATTTAGGTTTTTTTTTTAAGAAGAAAGGAATGGATTTTCTGATACAAATATTTTGGATTCTACAAAAGGGACATAAAACTTCCTGCGTAATGAAATAGTTCAATTAAACATTTTCCACTCCAGTAGCTTGTAGTGATTTCAATCTAAGCAGTCCCACTCTGATCTGTGATTATTTGACTCTTGTTTTCCTTTCATTTTCTAAAGCTCGATTCAGTTTAATCTTTTGTTTACAAAGCTTTTGTTATAAGTCCCTGACTTAGCAGGCTAACAAATGAAGTCCACATATTAATATCTAGAGGGACTTTTCATTTAAATTCAACAAAGACAAAAGCTGCCTGTGTTGTTTATGCACATGACATATCACAGAAATTTCATTTTGATGTAAAACATTAAAGATAAGTCATGCTTATAATTTTCCACTTTTCTTTGATATAGTTTTGTCTTTCCTCCCCTTTTACTGCAATCCCTGATTTTTCAAGGCAATCTTGAAAACAAATAAAATGCATTCATATCATCACGGCTGATTATTTTATATGTTCTTCTTGTGTACACAAGTCTTGACCACCCCCGAGTTTTATTAACACAATAAAAACCTTTGAGACATTACCCTTTTACTGCTCAGCATGAATGTAAGCAATATCAGTTGGCCCCTCTTTTAATTTGTGAATATACAACAATTCATATCAGAGGTGTCATTCTTATATTAAGTGAAGACACACTGCACGATTTTTTAAAAAAATGTTGGGTATTCAGACTTACAGAGCCTGATCCTCTTTGGGAGTACTGCACATTTGGAAAAAGGTTTCCACATATTTAATAATAGATGGATGGATGGATGGGGAAGTATGAGTGCAAACATGCCTTGCATGCATGTCTACTTTTGTGATCTAGCTGTACTACTAAAATTCCAGTACTGTTTCCTGTTTTCCCTGCAAGCCCTTTAAAAAACAAAACAAAACCTATTCATGCCAGTCAGGTATTTGGCAACAGATTCAGTCTCTCCATACACACAGAGACACATACATTTCCCCTTCCCAGGCATATTTTGAAAGGGCTCTGCATGGCTTCTCATAAGAGTCTCAGTTTCAGGAAAGGGTGTTTGTTCCTGGATATTCAAGTACCAACAGAGCAACATTTTACATCAAGATGAGTTACAGCAATTATCATCACAATACAAAATGCTTTTTAACTCCAGAATTTACTCTCTCAATTAATGCATGTATTCTATTAATATTACCACTGCCATGTATCAGGCTATAGTAAATTCACAGTAAGCATATAATAGTAAGCGTATAAACAAGACCAGTGCAGAAAACCTAACATTGCATACTACTGTACTTGAAAGTGCATAATTTTCAATGTTGTATACATTTCAGTCATCAGCATTTCAGCAAGGGGAATTGGAGGAGCAGGTTTCCAGATGCAGATTGCTATCCTAGATCTGCATTCATTCTTACAAGTGGAAGTTGCACAGAGTGAAAGAATACACACCCATTTCTGACACTTGGGGATGCACATATGGAGCACTTCTGCACCACAGGACACATGTTCAATGCTACCACAGTGAGAGACCACACTAAGCGGTTCCTGGGATCCAGGCTCCTGCCTCCCACAACAGGTGATCAGTGCTCTCCA